AGTAGTGATGGTTGCACAACCCTATGAGTGTATTGTATTAATATTTAATACTACTGAATTATACACTTAATATAGTTAGATGGTAAATTTTATGTTGTGTGTATTTTACCACAATTTTAAAACTTGAAAAAAAAAACTGTAGAGATTATTGGAGTCTCTGAATACAGCCTTCTCCCTTCCAGGGGATTAACTTTTGTCTCGGCAGGCAGTTTGGCTTAGCGGGTGGCCTTTATTCAGTCTAGGGCGTATTATTTAGGAGTGGGATTTACTTTCTGAAGACTAGTCTATTACTTATTTGCCTTTACTCCAATAATTTGCCTTTACTCCAATGATGTAACCCTTTAGGGTTGCCAACCGAAGTCTTAGAATATTTGCCAGGGCTCCTCCTGGGAAGACCCTATACTTTTATTTTTGGTCTTCCCAAACTTGAAACTGCTGAAAGATTTGCTCAGCTTTTTAGTCTCTTAGCTGCTGCCAATGAGTCAGCAAGTGCCTCCAGGGGAAAAGTAGCACCAGATGTTGGGTTTCCATTTATAAATTTCCCTTGTCTTCAAGATCTTAGCCCTCAAGTACCCACGTCCTTGGCAGCTTTTCATTTTTTTAAATAATTTTTTAATACTATAATAGATTTTTCTGGTTATTTTATGAGGTCATTCTGATATAAACTAGTCTTCCGTAGCTGAAGATGGAGATTCCACCTGTATGACTTCTTATTGCCTTACTCATTTGACATTTAAACCAAAGATATGAGTACAGGCATACCTTGAAAGTATTGTGGGTTTGGTTCCAGAGCACCAAAATAAAGTGAATGTTGCAATGAAGCAATTTTTTTTTGGTTTCCCAAGGAATATAAAAGTTATGTTTACACTATATTATATCTGTTAAGTGTGCAATAACATTAAATAAAAAGTGTACATACCATAATTAAAAATACTTTCTTGCTAAAAAATGCTAACTATCATCTGAGCCTTCATAGTCTTTTTGCTGGTGGAGGGTCTTGCCTTGATGTGGATAGCTGCTGACCCAACGGGGTGGTGGTGTTGAAGGTTGGGTGGCTGTGGTAATTTCTTAAAATGATGGCAATGAAGTTTGCTGCATTGATTGACTCTTCTTTTCCCACCGGTTTTTTTTTTGGCTTCAATGCTGTTTGATAGCATTTTCCTCACGGTAAATTTTTTTTTCAGAATTGGAGTCAATCCTCTCTCAAACCCAGCTGCTGCTTTATCAACTAAGTTTATGGAATATTCTAAATCCTTTGTTGTCATTTCAACAATGATCACAGCATCTTCACCAGGAGTAGATTCCATCTTAAGAAACTACTCTTTTTGCTCATCCATGAGAAGGAACTTCTCATTTGTTCAAGTTTTGTCACGAAATTACAGCAATCAGTCACATCTTCTGATTTCACTTCTAATTTGAGTTCTCTTGCTATTTCCACCATATCTGCAATTACTTCTTCCAGTAAAGTCTTGAACCACTCAAAGTCATCCATGAGGGCTGTAATCAACTTCATCCAAACTCTTGTTAATGTTGATATTTTGTCCTCCTTCCATGAACCACAAATATTTTTAATGACATCTAGAATAGTGAATCCTTTCCATAAGATTTTCTATTTACTTTGCCTAGATCCATCAAAGGAATTACTATCTATGGCAGTTATAGCCTTATGAGATGTATTTCTTATGAGATGTATTTCTTATAAGACTTGAAAGTCAAAATTACTCTCTGATCCATGGAATGCAGAATGGTGGTTATGTTAGCAGGTATGAAAATAACATTAATCTCCCTGTACATCTCCATCAGAGCTCTTGGGTGACTAGGTGCATCGTCAGTGAGCAGGTAATACTTTGAAAGGAATCCTTTTTTTGAGATGGGGGTCACTAGTTCTCAACAATGGTCTTAAAATACTTAGTAAATCATACTGTAAACAGATGCGCTATCATTTAGGCTTTGTTGTTCTATTCATAAGGCACAGGAAGAGTAGATTTAGCATAAATCGTAAGGGCCTTAGAATTTTCAGAATGGTAAATGGGCACTTGCTTCAACTTACAGTCACCTTAACAAGAGAGTCAGCCTGTCCTTTGAAGCTTTGAAGCCAGGTGTTGACTTGTCCTCTCTAGCTATGGAAGTCCTAGATACCATCTTCTTCTGATGGAAGGCTGATTCTTCTACATTGAAAATCTGTTGGTTAGGGTAGCTACCTTCATCAGTGATCTTAGCTAGATCTTCTGGATGACTTGCTGCAGCTTCTACATCAATATTTCCTACTTCACTGTGAACTTTTATGTTCTAGAGACAGCTTCTTTCTTTAAAACTCATGAACCAACCTCTGCTAGTTTCCAACTTTTCTTCTGCAGCTTTCTCACCTCAGCCTTCACAGAACTGAAGAGGTGAGGGCCTTGTTCTGGATTAGGTTTTGGTCTTTCTCCATATCAGAAATGAGCCTGTTTCACTTTCTTATCATTCCTGTGTTCACTGGAATAGCACTTTTAATTTCCTTCAAGAACTTTTCCTTTGCATTCATAATTTGGCTAACTGTGCCAGAGGTCTAGCTTTCAGTCTATCTCGGCTTTTGGCATGTCTTCCTTGTTTAGCAGCGTCATTTCTAGCTTTTAATTAAGCTGAGAGATGTGTGACTCTTCCTTTCACTTGAACACTTACAGGCCATTGTAGGATTATAAACTCACCTAATTTCAATATTTTGTCTTAGAGAATAGGGACGCCTGAAGAAAGGGAGAGAGATGAGGAACGGCCGGTGGGTAGAGCAGTCAGAACATTTATTGATTAAGTTCACCGTCCTATATGGGCACGGTTTGTGGTGCTCCCAAACAATTAGAATTGTAACATCAAAGGTCACTGATCACAGATTACCATAACAGATGTAATAATAAAAAAGTTTGAAATATTGCAAGAATTACCAAAATATGACACAGAGATATGAAGTGAACACGTGCTGTTGGGAAAATGGTGGGAACAGATTTCTTGCTCGATACAAGGCTGCCATGAACCTTCAATTTTTAAAAAACACAATACATCTGTAAAGTGCAATAAAGCATAGGACAATAAAAAGAGATCTGCCTGTATACTGTTCAGTTGTTGTTAAGAAGACTTCTAAAGCAATACATGTAATAGACAAGGCCTTAAATTTTATGCACTCTTTTACATATACTTTAAGGACAGAAAGGATCTTAAAGCTATGAGTTTGGTATGTCTGTGTAACACACCATGTTTTATTTCATCTGTTAATGTTATCTAATGGTAATAAGGAGTCTAAGAATATACTGTCATGTTCATTAAGTTTAGCTCAAGTTTTTATTTCTATGTGGATGTATATATAAAAAGGAATAACATTTTCTCAAGTAAAAGAGAAGTATTAGCAGGTTAAATTTTCTCTCTTGTACACATACACACACACAGTATGTTACATTTAACACAGGGGCTACATTTTCTATTGGAGAGTATTATGCTCATTGATATAGCACTCACTTGGTATTTATATAATCAATAGGATCTCTTTTTTTCTTGGAGACAGAGTCTCACTCTTGTTGCCCAGGCTAGAGTGCTATGGCATCAGCCTGGCTCACAGCAACCTCAAACTGCTGGGCTCAAGCGATCCTCCTGCCTCAGCCTCCTGAGTACGGGACTACAGGCATGCACCCCATGCCCAGCTAATTTTCTATATATTTTAGTCCAATTAATTTATTTCTATTTTTAGTAGAGACAGGGTCTTGCTTTTGCTCAGGCTGGTCTCGAACTCCTGAGCTCAAGCGATCCACCCGCCTCGGCCTCCCAGAGTGCTAGGATTACAGGCGTGAGCCACTGAGCCGGCTCAATAGGATCTCTTTATAACTGACTCAGATACACCACTGTGTTTGTAGAACTGTAGGCAGGCTGCTCAGAAAGTATGGGAAACTGAAGCCACAAGATACAGAGAAGTCTTATTGCATCTCTTATCTCAAAAGCCTGAAATATTACATTATTTTTCATTTTTCCCCAGTGTTTTGCTTTTTATAATTGTCTGCACTCTCATTTTGGAAAATTATAGCATTTATTAGAATGGGCCTCCTAACTGCCTTTCCTTGACACTCCTCAACCCCTCTTTGAATTTTGTGGTATGCCTCTTTTATGCAATAGGTGCATTACTAATATAGTAGTGTGTAAAAACTAAAGACTACTATTTAAATGAAGTTTATGTGGCATTCATTTTTGTACATCAAATATTTACAAAAGATTTACTCCTTAATTTATTCATTTTTAAATGAATAGTTATAAAGCAGCCTATAAATTAAGCAGCCTATAAAGCAGTCTAGTTTTTTTTGTGAGTGAGTATGAGATACCATACTGAAGATATTTTACTCTAAAATAAAAGTCGAGTGGAATGGATTATAAGACCACTAAAAATATCTAAAATCTCCATGGAAATTATAAAAAATGAATACAGGGAAAAATATATGCCCCTTGTATAAATGATACCACAGATATATTTGGCTATATTTTTGGTAGCATAAGTTTTGATTTGTACATCTGCTAGAATCTTGGGCCATTGTCTCTGAATTACTTTTATTCTGGCCTAAAGTCTACAAAAATATAAATTCAAATCTAGAGGTACACAGTAATTCTCATACAGCCCTGTATGTGAATTATTTCTGAAATTCTTGAACAGCATTTGAAGCGACACATAAACTAATCTCAATCTTTGAATTAGAAATTATTATTAAAATAACATTTTTGCAGTATATGGGGGTAATCTTGGTTGTTATGACAATGATAGTATCCAAATCATTTTCTTCATTTTTATACTAAAATGGACCAAGTTAAAAAATATTAGTAATATTGGAAAAATGAGTCTTTGCCTAGCCTAAGAAGATTTTCTGTGTTGCTATTGAGATTCTTTTCTTAAAATAATTTTTTTTTTCTACCAGAAGATTGAGTTCTCTGTACCACAGTGGAAAAATCTTGGTATTACATGCCAACAGTGTCACCCAGCATGATTGAATTACCTGTTAAAGCTCTTGTAATCAGGCAGTTCTGCCTTTCCTTCAGGCTTGAAAAATTTAGGGGATAACACCTCTGAAAGCTCCGGATCACTGCTAATGGCCTGTTCCCAGGGAGACTGATAGTACTTAGGGACAGCTGTGGTGTTGAATCTTTCAGGAGGAATTTCCTTCAGTGGTCCAGAATATCCTTTGGAAAAATATAGCAAGAACAAATAAACACAGTGCCTGAGGGTTACTAAACTCCACCTAACATTTTACCATGTTTAATTTTTCATGCTGGGGTAAATTTATGAACAATGCATCCTTTTCATGATCCCTTAGAAAACAGCAGTCTATATATATACATACATAATTAGTGAGATGTGCACCATCTGGGGGATGGTCATGCTGGAAACTCAGACTTGTGGGGGGAGGGGGGAAAAGGGCATTTATTGAAACCTTAAAATCTGTACCCCCATAATATGCCAAAATAAAAATAATAATAATAATAAAAGAAAACAGCAGTCTGATACTGGAGACATTTTAAAACTCCTTTAAGCTTATGGAACTTTAAAAAGAAACCGTTGTTCTTAATGTTTGATTTTTCCCAATCATACCGTTATTTTTTTCCTTGACTATCTTAGTATATTGGTTCAGGTAAAACTGTTCATCTATGTTTTTTAAATTGTGCCCCTTTGTGGGGCGCGGTGGCTCATGCCTATAATCCTAGCACTCTGGGAGGCCGAGGCGGGAGAATTGTTTGAGCTCAGGAGTTCGAGACCAGTCTGAGCAAGAGCCAGACCTCATCTCTACTAAAAAAAAGACAGAAAGAAAATAGCTGGACAACTAGAAATATAGAGAAAACATTAGCTGGGCATGGTGGCGCATGCCTGTAGTCTCAGCTACTTGGGAGGCTGAAGCAGGAGGATTGCTTGAGCCCAGGAGTTTGAGGTTGCTGTGAGCTAGGCTGATGCCACGGCATTCTAGCCCGGGTGATACAGTGAGATTCTGTCTCAAAAAAAAAAAAAAAAATTGTGCCCCTTACATTAATTTATACTATACTTTAGATGCCACAATTAATTAATTTGAAAATGTTTATTGAGGGCTATTGTAGTCTAGGCTAGGGGAAAGTGCAATGAGAACAAAAATCTCCCTCCTCTCAAGAGCTGATCCTTTAGCAGCAGTTCCCAAACTTTTTGGCATCAGGGACCATTTTCATGGAAGACAAATTTTCCACGGGAATGGTTTCGGGATGATTCAAGTGCATTACATGTATTGTGCACTTTATTTCCATTATTATTACACTGTAACATATAATGAAAGAATTACACAACTCATCATAGGTTGGGGACCCTGCTTTAGAGGTGTTGTTAGGGTCTTGTCTATCTTAAATTGCTGAGTGCTCTGTAAAATGGTTAAGCTTCAAAAAGTGAAGTCATTTGTTTTCACTGCCTTATTCAGGTCCTACTTCTTATTCCCTGTTGTATCCCTTGTTTTCTTCATTCCTCAAGATTTATTATTTAGCTTTTCTGTTTCTTGTTTCACCATTCCCTTTATTCTTTTCACAAGAACTAGAAGTTTTCTGTAAGTACTGTTTATAATGCACACAAATTTCTGGCACATATCTTTAAATCATTTTCACATATATCAGGTGATGCTTCTCCAGTTTTCTAAAGTACAGCTGTCTCCTTTCTGTCTGTACTACCTGATTGTGTCCTTACAATCCTGTTTCCACCTTTTCCCACCTGCGTATTCTACTTCTAGGTTTCCCCGATGCTATTTCCCTTCTCTAAAATGCTTTTGATTCTGTCAAACCATGCCCATCTTCTCTTTAAACTAAAATGCTCATCTCCTCCAAACCTCTCCTTTGATAATTTCATCTCTAAGCAGTTATTTGTGGCAATTTCATTCTTCAAGTTGCCTCTAGTGTCCAATAGTAATCTCTTTCGATAGGCTTCTTTTCTCAGCTTGGCACTTAAATAATGGTATTGCTCAAAGCTCTTTTCATACACAATACACTCTGCCTAAAAATTCCATTTATAGCCATGACTTTAATTGTGAACTACCTGTTGATGGTTCCAACTTTTGGTTTTTAACCTCCAGGCCCTTCTATTCAACCACTTATTATATTTGTCCAAATGAATGATCCACTGGCACCCTTTATAACTTGTTAACCTAAATGCAGCCATTTTCCAATACATCCTGTTTCTTTTTCTATATTGATCATCTCAGCAAATGTTACCACTTTACCCTCAGTGCCCAAGACAGAAGCATTATCCTAAACTCTCCCTCATCCCCAAAACAAACCACTAAGTGTTACCAACTGTACTTCTTAAGGGTTCCTAAAATAATAGCTCTCAAACTATTTTTGTTTCTGAATCACCTTGGGTATTTATTGAAAATGTAGGTAACAGGCTCCTCCCTTCAGAGATTTGGCTTGAGTAAGTCTCAGGTATGCCTACCAGTCCAAATGTTTAACCAACTCTTATACTGGTCGACTGCAAGTGGAACAATGAGAAACAATGCTGCAGAAAATTCTCTCTTTCCTCTCCATTTCTGTGACTTTTGCCCTGGGTTAGGCCCTATCTGACTCTGGTCTGGGTTTTCGGGACAGGCTTCACACTGACCCCTTAGCTCTGGACCCCTCTTCCAGCCACTCGCCACACTGCTGCCCAAGGA